GAAAAGCCTGAAAACCATTTACCCTACAGACTGATTCCCTGAAGTATTACCCACAATTTCATTTCTTTTTTATTTTTTTAAAGGTTTGTTTATTTATGCACACAAGAACTCCCATATAGGCCAGATGTGGGGGGGGGGGCGCGGGGCGGCAGGTGAAAGGATTCACCAAAGACAGAGTGGGGAGCAAAACAGGTGGATACACTGAAAAACACTGCTGAGGGGAGCAGTGGGTGAGACAGGAGAGGTCTGCTGTGCCATGTGGGTTGCTCCCTGGCGGAGGATTGTACTCAAGCCATAGTGGTGATAACACTGAGACTTGACCCTTCGACCAGCAGGGAAGCCCTTTTAGCAAACATTTAAAAGAAAAAAAATGTTGGACTCCTTTGACTTTCTGTGAAATAGAATTGTAGTTTTTACCTTACTTATCGAGAATGCAAGTTTGCTATAAAATATTGACTTTTTGTTAGACAAAATAGCATGATTTCTCCCCTGAGCACTATAGGAAACCCTTGAGGTAGACTGCTCACTTTTGACCTTATCTGTCCATTCTCAAGCACCATGGTGCTCTCCAACCCCCCTATAGTTTACACAAAGGAATATCATTATTCACAACAGCCAAAAATTGGAAAACAGCCCAAGTGTCCAGCCATGGAGTATTATTCAGTCTTGAGAAGGAAGGAAATTGTGACAGAGGTCACAACATAGATGAACCTTGAGGACATGATGCTAAGTGATGTAGGTCAAAAAAGGACATAGCACCTCCCTGGTGGCTCAGGGTTAAAATCTCAGCACTATAAAGCTATCCACAGCCATTGCAGCACAAGGCAGGTATACTGAAATACACTGTTGAGGGGAGCAGCGGGGAGACAGGAGAGGTCTGTTGTGCCCTGTGTGTCAGCTCCCTGGCTGGGGATCGAACTTGTGCTGCAGTGGCTGCAGATAGCTTCATAGCGCTGAGACTTAAACCCTTGTACCACTAGGGAGGCCCCTAACTTGGCTATTTTAAACCTTGGAGTGCACAGATCCCTTCAAATTAGTGTTTTTACATTCTTTGTGAAGACAGTGAGCAGTGGGGTTGCTGGATTATATGTTTTTTAAAGTGTAACTGTTTTTTTAAATTTCCTATCATCACCAGCTTCTGGTTTCTCTTATCTTTCTACTTTTTCATGGTGGTTTCTCGCCTCCATTTCCTCTACTGGGCAATGTTAGTCAGTAGCCTGGTATTTCCCATCAGCATCTACTCCACAGTGATGGCACACACAGGCGTGTGACACACTCACAGAAGAGTATGCCTCCGGGGTGGGCCCCAGCTCACACCAGGTCACCAGGTAACAGAGTGACTCCCCCCGATTCTCAGTGCTGCTATCCCATTTATACAGTAAAGCTTCTGAGATGTTGGAACTCAAACATCAACCTCTCCCTCTAAATGCCAAAAGGATTTCATTTTCATATAAAACAAAACAGCCATGGTGTCTAAATACACTGCACTGTGGAAAGGTTTAAACTGGCCTAGGGCCTCCCTGGTAGTGCAGGGGTTAAACATAGCACTGTGAAGCTGTCTGCAGCCTCTGCAGCATGAGTTTGATCCCGGGCCAGGGAGCAACCCACATGGCACAGCAGACCTCCCCTGTTTCACCCATTGCTCCCCTCAGCAGTGTATTTTAGTAGATCTGTCTATTCTGCTCCCTGCTCTCTCTGGTGAATCCTCACACACACACACCCCCACAACTCTGGCCTGCACCCCAGTTCTTCTAATGTGCAAAAAAACAAAAACAAAAACCAAAAAAAACCTGGCACCTTCCCTCACCCCTCCATCAACTTCACACCACTGTCACGTTGCACACATGATAGGGTAGAATTCTTTCATATATTTATTTTTTAATTTTTTTTTATTTATGCATCATATAACTGGGCTGCAGGCCAGAGGTGCGGGGGGTGAGAGGATTCACCAGAGACAAAGTGGGGAACAGAATAGGTGGAACTACTGAAATACAGTGCTGAGAGGAGCAGCAGGCAAGATAGAGGAGGTCTGCTGTGCCATGTAGTTTAGCCCTCCCCCCCTCACACCTCTGGCCTACATCCCAGTTCTTCTACACAAAAATTAAAAAAAAAAAAAAATAGATGAGAACTTGGTTTATATGGTTTACAGGAAAGAAAGGAAATTAGGTGCTACGAGACCCTAAGCCAGGTCAGACATAAACCTACTCTGTCTGGGCAGGAAGAGGCCTGAAGGTTTCCTGTGGAGAGAAGCTAAGGGGAAGGGGGCGCCACCCACCTCTCCCTTCCCCCTCCCCTGCCCCTGCCTGCCCAGACACCAGTTTAAATTTATACCTAAGGGAGCAGGCAGGTGAGGGGGATTCTTTTTTTTTTAAGGATTTCTTTTTTAAATTTATTTGTTTAAGCACACAAGAACTAGGGTGCAGGCAGAGGTGCAGGGGTGAAAGGATTCAGCAGAGACAGAGCAGGGAACAGAACAGGCAGACTGACTGAAGTACACTGCTGAGGGGAGCAGGTAGCTCCCTGGCTGGGGTCGCAGGTGAGGGGCCTTCTTAAGAGGAAGCCTGCTCAGAATAGGGAGGAGACTTTCCATTTGAGGTCTTTGGGGCATTGCCAGTAACCACCAAGGTTTACACAGCCTGGGAATGAGTAGAGAGGGTGAGGCAGGAAGGGCAGGGCTTCCAAAAAAAAAAAAACTGCAAAAAAAATTGCTGTTCCCACCGGCTGATGAGCAAGAGCTTAAATACCTAATGACTCCAGGCCTGGCACCTGCTGCCATGAATTTACTAGTTTTCCCCCAGAATGTAAATTCCTGAGTTATCTTTTCACAGCTCATGAAATTGGCCTCTATAGGGGGAATAAGGGAGTTGCACACCCAGAAGAAAGACCAGCTGGGTCCATATCAGCACCTGGGCCGGCCTCCCTGAGCTGCTCGCCTGGAAACCGTCTCGAGCCTGCGAGACCCCCAGCCGCAGCCCCTCGGAGCTCACAGCCAGCAGCCCAGTGTTGCTTCCTCAGCCAATCGAGTAGCTCCTCTGTTCTCAGCCCCGGCCCTAAAGCCTCTCCAGGCCCCGCACTTGCCGTGTCTCTCATGCCTGAGGCCTCCCCAGGTTCTCTGTCCTGCTCTTTCCCTAATCAACCAACACCGACTCACTGCCTGCGCCCACCGAGACGGTGGAGTCCCCTTTTCAGGCCTGACCTGGGGTCTCAAGAGCCCTTTCCTGCTTCCTAGCTGGAGCAGGGACAGCGGCCAGCTGGCTCCCAGCTTACCCGCCTGTGCTGTTGGAGGGAGGGGTGGGGCTGGGGGCCCTGGGCCTCCGTCATCCAGTGACAGAGGGGACTCCAGGGGGACCCCAGATGAGTAGCAGTGAGACCATTGGCTCTATGAGCACCCCATCCCAGGGGGTTCTAGGTGAGTGAACGAAAGTACTAGGTCGGGTAAGGGCGAAGACATCCACCTGATTCTGGGGCATTTCTGCTATCCGAAGGGGGTAACAGGAAGGGGAGGGGGAGACCGGCCCAGCCAAGGGAGATGGGAGAACTGGGAGGCCTCATGAGCAGCCAGGCCCTGAACCCCGATCTGCAGCAAGGCACGAAGCTACGGCGGAACCTGTCTCAGTGTTCTTCCAAGCAGAGGAGAAGCAGCAGGTGAAGAACACAAAGTTAAAGGTTTTGTTTTTATTTTTCATTAGCCGAAAAGGCCAGAGCTGGAGGCAGGCCTTCTCCGGGCAGCGTCTCTCCAGCGCCCTCTAGTGACATATCCCAGCAGTCACTCATCCTGGAGGCCCGGAACCCACGTGACCTGACCTCCAGCCCCCACCTTACCCTAGCACCTCAGACCCCTCCTGGGCTTATCGCCTGCCAAGGATTAAATAAAATCATCCACGTGAAACAACTGATGCAATGTCAGGGCTCGGGAACCCTCGGTGAGTAGGGGAGAGACACCTTCCTAGAATTACACCCTAGGGGGAGGTGACTTGGCAGATTTGCTGCCCATGTGATGGCAAGGAGTCCTGGTGCAATGTCATCGAAGATGGGGAGTTCAGGGGGTGACTCTGCTTTTACTGAAATCACTGTGTGGTGGTGACTCCTGGGGGCACATCAACAAGACAGCTGAAGTGAAAGAACTCAGGGAGCCCCAGGAGCCTCTAGAACAGCTGGTGTCCGTTGATTCCTCTCTCATGTGCTGTGAAGCACTGGCAGTCGCAATCAGGACTCACCCCGGCCTGGCCTGGAGGTCCCTGTCCAGGGTGGAGACAAGCACCTGGATGGTCAGCCTGGACGGGCAGGCTTGCAGGGCCCCCTGGGGGTGTAAAGAGGGTGGGCTGGAAGGGTCCTTCAGTTTGGTTGGAGGGAGCTGTTGAGGGCAGTGCAGGAGCTGTTGAGGGCGTGCAAGTCAGTGGGGGAGAGGGTGGTGGCCACCCCCAGGGTACAGCATGGTCCCTAATGCAGTGCTTTGCTGCTGAGTGGGTGACCCTATTTCTAGCTAGTGACATAAGTGGCTGAAGATCCTCCGCCACTTCTTTCTTCTCTCAGTTAAATACAGTCATTTGGCGTCTACTCAGGAAACTCGCCCACAGCGCCCCTGGCACAGGACCTGTAGGCCTTCTGGCCTCTGGTGGCCACTCTATTTCAGGGCAAGTGGCCAAGTGCGCACTGAACAGGTAGGTATGTGACCGTGCAGTCCTGTGAATGAGCTGGGACTGGTCTTTCTAGGGTTAAAATTGCGTTCCTGCCTTTGTTGGGGGGGGGGTGAGCAGCCTCCGAGACCTGCTGGCCACACCTCCTGCGTGCCTCACTTTGTCCTAGATGGATGAGAAAGGGAAGGTCACCCTCTCAGCCTGGACAGAGCCGCCCTCTGTCCCAGGTGGCACCCCACGACGGGTGTGGCTGGGAGGGGACCTACCCCAAGGTGGGCAGTGTGGCCACAGGCCCCCCTGAAAGGCAATTTCAGGTCCCAGAGCACATCTGCCTGTGAACTCACAAATACACAAGAACTCTAGAGAACAGGATTTATTCCTGGATCGTCACTGAAGGCGACTTTGGGTGGCAGGCACTTTGGGAAGTGTTGGGAGGGTTGTGGCTGGGGGGCAGTGGGTAGGCAGGAAGATGGCAGCCGGCGGTACCTCCCTACGGGGAGGCGAATCGGCCGCAGAACAGGATGCCCTTGGTCTTGCTGTGCTGGATGAAGAAGAGGAAGGGGTGGTCGGCACAGAACTTGGGGGTGATCATCGCGCACTTGAACATCATGATGGCGGCGGTAGCCGCGGCCGCCTCGGTGCCCTCCTCGTTGACCTCCACAAAGGCCTTGTGCGCGACCTTGGACAGCGTCAGCCGGTCCCCGGCCGACATTCCGGAGAAATCAGCCCTGGCCTCGTCGAAGGCATCGCTCATGCCCAGGCTGCGCAGCACGGCCTTCATGTCGTAGTTCTCCTCCAGCTTGAAGCGCGGCAGGGACAGCTCCACCTCCTCCTCGTCCATCATGTCAGGGTTCGTCCACTCCAAGAACTTCTCGTAAGTGAGTTCTTTTTCCACCTGGAAAAGGAGAGGTGAAGATTTTTTTTTAAAGATTTATTTATGCATACAAGAACTGGGGTGTAGGCCAGAGGTGCAGGGGTGAGAGGATTCACCAGAGACAGAGTGGGGAGCAGAACAGGCAGATGACCAAAATACACTGCTGAGGGGAGCAGTGGGGAGACAGGAGAGGTCTGCTGCGCCATGTGGGTAGCTCCCTGGCCAGCTGTGGATGGAACTCGTGCTGCAGAGGCTGCAGACAGCTTCACAGTGCTGTGCTCCATCCCTTGCACCACCAGAGAGGCCCTGAGGTGCAAATTTTGAGATCAAGAGCAGCAAGGGTGATGTCCGTGACGTCTGCCATGACAGGGTCCAGATGGGAAGTGGGGGCAGGGACCCCAGGGGGAGCCCCAGCAGCCTCGGGGTGACGGCAGCCTTACCATTCTCAAGTCTCTGCCTCTTTCTGGGAGCATGATGATCATGTTCAGCTCCTGGCCAGCGTAGGGCAGCATCAGGATCTGGGTAAAGATGTCTCCTATGTAGGTTATTTTATACTTAGATTTCCTAAACATCATCTGCACAGTTTTCTTCTCGTTCTGTAAAGGGAATGGAGAAACATTTAGTTGAAACGGGACCTGTTGAACTTAGGGGACAAGTCGGGCAAAGCTGCCTGCTCCGGGCCCCGGAAGTACTGTCTTGGCTTCTGAAACCCCCACCAACCCCCTGATTGCCTCCAGAGGTCAGGGTGCTCAGGGGCCCCTTGGAATTGAACTCCTGAACCTCTGGGCCTGGCCCACTCCCCTGCAGCAGACTCATGTTTTCCAGGCTACTTGGTGGCAACATTTGGACATGAGGGGAACCTGCATTGTCACGTGTCTCCCTGGGCGCCCACCTCTCCTTCCAAGTCTGTGCCACCTACGATTGTCCCTTTATCAGGGGATGGTCACACCCACCAGGCTCCTTTTTTTTTTTTAAAGATTTTTTTTTTTAGATTTTATTTATTTATGCACTCAAGACCGGGGGTACAGGCCAGGGGTGCAGGGGGTGAGAGGATTTACCAGAGACAGAGTGGGGAACAGAACAGGTAGACTGACTGAAATACACTGCTGAGGGGAGTCAGGAAAGGTCTGATGTGCCATGTGGGTTGTTCTCTGGCCAGGGGTCGAACTCATGCTGCAGAGGCTGCAGTTAGCTTCATAGGTTGCATATTATTAACCCCTTGCACCACCAGGGAGGCCCCCCTTTTTTAAAAAAAAGATTTATTTTTATTTATACAAGAACCGGGGCACAGGCCAGATGAGTGGGAGGTGAGAGGATTCACCAGAGACAGAGCGGGGAACAGAACACGCAGACTGACGATATACACTGCTGAGGGGAGCAGCGGGAGGGCAAGACAGGAGAGGTCTGCTCACCATATGGGTTGCTCTGAGGCTGGCAGGGATCAAACCAGCACTGCAGAGGCTGCAGACAGCTTCACAGTGCTGCGCTCAACCGCCTGCACCACCAGGGAGGCCCTCCCCCACCCCTTTTTTTAAAGATTTATTTACTTATGCACACAAGAGCTAGGGTACAGGCCAGAGGTGTGGGGGGGGCGGTGAGAGGCTTGGGATTGAACTCATGCTGCAGTGACTGCAGATAGCTTCATGGTGCTGAGACTTAACCCCGTGCGCCACAAGGGGGCCCCCCCAAAGGCTCCTTGACTTGTTTCTCTCACAGGGCACATCTGACTTATCAGCAAATGATGTTAACTCTCCCTATAAAACACTCAGCACCTCTGCTGTAGTCAGCCCAGCTGGGGTCATTGTGACAGTGCACCGTGCCCTCCCTGCTCCAGTGCATGTGCCAGCTCAGTGGCCAGAGAGATCCTGGTGCACCAACCAGGGAGCCAGGTCACATGGCTTGTGCTGAACACATCCCCCCTCCAAGGAGGAGGCAGAGGGCACTCAAGCCCTTACAGTGACCCATGATGGCAACAAGGGCACGGCACCCAGGCCTTCCACTCTCAACCTGTCACGATCTGCTTCCACCACAGGGGCCCTGAACAGCGGGTGGACAAAGCGGGCCCCTTCTGTCTGCCCAGTCAGCATGTACCCCAGCACCTGGAGAATGTACCCCAGGCCTCCTTTGGCCCTTACCTGAAACTGGGTGCCCACCATGGCCCCCCACCCCTTCCTCTAGATCTGTCTCTGCAGGAGACCCCAACTCATGCCCCTCACCTGCCCACCCACACCCTGAGAACCAGCCTCATGAGCAGAGGGCTGCTTGGCTGGAAGGTGTCCAACATGGCTCCTAGCACTGTCCACCCTCAGAAACTTCTGCTGAATAGATGAACAAGCCACTAAGGGACAGGGCACGGCCAGGCCAGCAGAACCCACACCACTGACGAGGGAAGAGCTGTCTGCCCCCAGGCATCCCAGCTAGCCAAGGAGGTAGCCCTGACACTGCCACATCTCCTAACTGCCCCCCAGCTTCTGAGCCCCATGCAAGGTAAGATGAGGCTTCTATGAACCTACTGCCACCCAGCGGCCCTCATCACGGCACACGAGGCTGCGGCCAGCAGAAGAAACACCCTTGCCCATCATTTTTCCTGGCCTCCGCCAAGTGGGCCCCCTCGACTCCCACCTCACGAACCTCCTTGGCCAGAGGAGCTTAGGGGAGGCTACAGGCCTCCAACTGGGGAGAAGGGCTATCAGGGAAGGCTCCCAGACGCTGCTGGGAGAAAGGAGTGGGTGCCAATGGGCATCGACTGGGGAGAACCCGGGTCTACAGGGAACACGCTGTTTTGGAGTCTAAACTTGACCCCAGCATTTCTGGGAAGCCCAGAAGGACCTTAGGCCTAAGATCCACAAAATCAGACCTGCAGTACAGACAAAGCACCTGGCACAGGATGGCAGGCGAGAGGGGAGCCATGCTGGGGAACTGGGCCAGAGGCCGAGGCAGGTGAGCCTTGGCTTCGATGTTGGAACAAAGGGGAGCAAAGAGCCTCAAGACTGGCTGGCAGTCTGGCTGCGAGCATGTTACCTGAGGTGAGGCTTCCATTTAAGAGCCAATGTGGGCTTAGGGGTTATGTCTCAGTGCTATGAAGCTATCGGCAACCACTGCAGCATGAGTTTGATCCCTGGCCAGGGAGATGACCCACATGGTGCAGCAGACCTCTCCTGTCTCCCTGATGCTCCCCTCAGCAGTGTATTTCAGTAGACCTGCCTATTCTGCTCCCCACTCTGTCTCAGGTGAGTCCTCTCACCCCCTGCACCTCTGGCCTGCATCCCAGTTCTACGCAAAAATGAAAGAACCAATGTGGACACAGGGCCTGTCTCCAAGAATGTCCTTTGTTACTGCACAGCCCTCACCTGACTGACATAAAAGGGAGCCTCGTGTGTGTGCTGCTTGTCAAACTTTTTATCCCAGTTGCCTTTGAAGTAGATGGCGTTCACAAGCACCAGAGATGTCATCGCATTCACCGAATCTGGAGGCAGCAAATCTTTAATTTTATCTGAAAAGGAAGAATTAAAGAACCAGTTAGGCAAAGAGTTTCCCGAGGCAGGAACACCAGGAACAGCATTCTGACGGGGCCATCTCAGTGCGTGATCAAGTACACGGACGAAGGAGTTCACTGCCCCCAAACAGAAACACAGGAAGGGAGCTTGGCCCTTCAAACAAGAGCTGACAAGCCCTTTTAAGAGAAATACTGTCAGCTGAATACAACACGTAAAGTCTGCAGGATGAGTCACAGCACAGAGAAAGAAAGAGGAGCTCGACCTGTAATGTAAACTGAGGAATGACATGGACGGGCAAAGGGGTGAGGGGCTGGAGCGAGTGTAGAGACGCATTGAAATAAAGACCCGCAGGTGGACCAGCGCCAGGTGAGATAATACAAGGTGACCAGCAGCACAGATGTAATGACGGGCAGGGAGACAGACACCCACATGCAAATTGATGTGAGTGCAATTTGTGGAACAAGAAGACTACATCAACATTCACCAGAAATGAAAGTGTGGATTGTTCTGGAGGAGACGTATGAACACTGGGAAACATCGCCGTGATGAGGGGAAAGCTAGAGAATATCACAGTGACAGTAACTCGGAGAGGGATTTTTTATAAGCGTACAGTTATTCAGAAAGCAAGTGTCATTCCTGAAATGGGACGGTCTGGTCAAGGACGGGACAGTAAGATGAAGAACAGAGTAACAGCGTCTTCACCTTCCGTCTTCTCAGCCACCCAGGAGTTGATGCGCTTCCGGGACGCCTCCCCAGCGTTGACAAAGTCCATCTCCTCCAGCTCTGCCTGGTAGAATTTGTGGCAGTCGTCCTTGAAGGGCTAGGAGACACAGTGACACCACATCATGGCCAGGGAAATAACCGCTGAATCGGTCAGAACCAGCCACCCTGATGATTCTTGTGCGGGATGGACAAATAAACACGAGGGATGGCCTCAGGCCCAACTTCTCCCTTTCTGGCTACATTTAACCTTCACTCATAACAAGTGAAATGGCAGCCTGCCTATCGAGGAGCCTCCTGAATCGGGGGCCCTTTGAGGAAGTCTGTGCACCAGTGGGGAAGGTGAAGACCTAGGGGTACAACAGCCAGAGTTCATGGCCCCCAATCTTGTGGGCTGAGTGAGGGCTTCCAGCAAGACCCATGGGTCCCTCTTCATTTCTGAACATCAGCCTTGGTGTTTCAGGTAAAGGATAGCTCTTGTGGCAGCTCCTGCCTCCATGGTTGGCAATGCCACTGTTGCCACCATTGCTCGCCAGTAATTGGATGAAATAAAGAGTGGCTGTACTGTGGATGCTCACAAATAGAGTACGTAAGACCCTCTTCCCCTGTGCGCTGGACTGGACAGTCAATGACGGGTAAGATCAGGGGCAGACTAAAGAAGGCACTGGCCAGCCTCATGTCTGTGACTTCTGACGACCTAAGACAGGCGCAGTCCCCGAGGGGCTTCATCATAATAAACTTTGGTGTTCAGATCAAACGAGGCCTACAAGCCTATAAGCTCAATCTAGGCACTAAGCCTGCAGTAAAAAACCCCTCTTTGCTTGAAAACAAGGCTGCTGAGAGTGTTGCCTACAAACAAGCCTGATGGAATTACCTACAAAGCAGTTTAACCATTAACCAGTTAATCATTGTTTCTGAATAAGTAGTAACTTAGCAACTTGTCCATAATTATACTATTTTCTTACCTGACTTTTTCTATATATGTGAAAATCAGTTTCAGGAAACGTATTGTAAACACATACGCTTAGCAACTTGTAAACCATTAGCTAGAAAATTGCTTTCTATGCCTAGGTAAAAAGAAACATTGTTATGCTGGAAAAATAGATTTTGTGTGACCTAATGCCTTTTGAAAATGTATAAATATGCGTAATGATTTGAGCAAATTACACTCAGATTTTCACTCTCCCTTGAGTGTGTCTGTGTGTCATTCTTTCTTGTCCCCCGCCCTAATTCCTTCGACCACCTTTTGCTCGTTCTCAATCCCTGAGACTGTCTCGATCTCCTGCCACCACTGGGCTGGTCTGCGGCAAGCTCTCCCTCCTCCCTCCCCCTCCTCCCCTTCTCTCCCCCACCTCCTCCTCCATGGCTTTACTTCCTCGGTGAACACAGCAAGCATGACTTACTGAGAGGAAATTAAAGGTCTTCTCTCCAAACAGCCTATTGGCCGTCCTGAGCAAGTACTGTGTGCCGGTCTTGTTCACTTCGCTGAGAAGCGACTGGAAGCCCTGGTGGACATCCCCACTGCCTCCGCGGCTCCGGTGGAAAGAGAGAGCCTGAAATCAAAACCGGAACACACACGTACAAGTTCAGTATGCCCTGGCATCTGGATCCAAGACAAAACCTGGCCTAAGAACCGTCCAGATGCTCACTCCAGCTGGGAAGAGTCACCCAATCAAGGACAAAAAGGTCATGGAAGCCACCCACTCACCCACCCAGCCTGCCTGGCACCCTCAGGGAGCCAGAGCCCAGTGGTTCTGGCAGAGTGGAGGGGCCGGGTTCTGTGTGCCCCTTGTTGCAGGCCTCCTGGCTCTGCAAACACAGGACCGTGGGGCAGGGGCAACCTCTCCCCGGGGTCCTGGAGTCTGCACAAGCCCTGTGACCTCAGACTAGAGAATGCAGAAACCAGAATGCCCCAGGACGACCTTAAACAAGCCGCTCCAGGCTCTCTCTCCTGCACCCCAGCCTCTAAGGTAAAAAACAAATCTAGCTGGTCCTCTCAAGACCCCCAGAGCTACTTCTAGGAGAAGGGACCTCAGACAGGCCATAGAGACCATCTTGACCCTGAGGACCCCTGCTGGCACCACGGGGTGCCGCCACAAAGTCGGAGGAGTAAACACTTCAGTGCTGTGATTTGTAGGAAATCAATTAATTTGATCATTCAAGTGACCAAAATCAATTTCGCAAACACAGCTCAGTCTTCATCCAGTTTCTGTCTCAAATGCCCCCCACCACCACCTCGGAATTTCCTGAGTGTTGAGAACATTAGAGATGACTTTCACTGTTTTTGAAGGAAACCTTGAGAAAACACCTGCGAAGGGAGGCTATGTGCCAGCAAAAACAACAAACAGAGCAGGCGGATCTTCTAGTCTCACCCAGATCTGGAGGAAGGGGAGAGGAGCTGAGATCAGGTCAGTGGCCAATGGCCAGTGATTTAATGGTTCAGGCCTATGCCACGAAGCCTCCAGAAACGCGGAAGCGGAGGGGGCTTCACGGAGCTGCTGAGCTGGTGAACATCTGGGGATCTGGGGAGAGTGGCGGCCTGCAGAGGGCCCGAAGCCCCGCACCTCACCCCTGCGCCTCCCTCCTCCAGCTCCGATTCGTATCCTTTGTGATAAACTGGTGATGGGGTGTGTAAATGGCTGAGCTCTGGGAGCTGCTCTGGCAAATTAAAGGAAGCTGAAGTGGGTGTCCTGGGACCCGGGAATTTGGGGCCAGCTGGTCAGAAGCACAGACGGTCTGTCTCTAGTTCACAGAGGTCTGTGTCGGGGGAACGGCACTACGGGGCCACAGTAGCCTGTTCCTCCTGGCGTGAAGCCTGAGCCTGACCCTCTGATGGGGTGACTGGGGAAGGGCACTGGCCTGTGCCTGGGCTGTGAGCCTGGGGCCTGGGGCCAGACCGCGGCCGCCCCAATGCAGGCCCCTCAGCTGCGCTAGTCTTGGCCACGTGACTAGCTTCAGCCTACAGGGACTTAGCAAGTGGTCACGGCTTATCCTGTGCGGGAGCCCAGGCTACCCCCCAGGACACCATGTGGAAGGCCTGGGGGTCCCACACTAGGATCCCAGCTGGGCCAAGGGGAGCAAGGGGAGCCGGGTCCACCCAGCGTTATGGGCAGAAAATCCTTAGCCGCGTGAGCTGCTAAGATTTGGGGCACTGATCACTCAGCAACAAATACCATGATTTGTGTCATGGACACGTTGGGCTCACAAGTACCTTTCTCAGGAGGTTTTACACTTAAATTCATTTTCCTGAGAAAAGGAAAAAATAGTCTAACAATGGAGATGCTGCTCACAGCAAGGACGTCGCTGGCTCAACCTGGACCTGGTGACCTGCATCTACTCGACATCTCAGACAGGAGCTGTGCGGGGCCCCCGCAGGCCCCCCCATGGGCAGGGATGCCTGCTGTCCATGCCTGGCTGCACCAGCACATCCTCTAGACATGGGGGCCCCCTCGGCGGCTGGTTGCCTGGAAGTAGCTTCAGGTACGTACCTGCGACATCTGGGCCGCGGTGTTCCCCTTGGCCCCCAGGAAGACCATGGCCAGGGCAGAGGAGATGCTCATGGGTGAGAAAAACACATTTTTCGAGTTGCCTTCACCCAGCTTTTTCAGGAGGTCAAAGGCAAAGGAGCCGTTGGCTTCTGCAAGCGCATCCATGGTAGCGAGCCTGGAACAGGGGGGCCAGTCAGTCAGTCCACGTGGGCCCCACGGCCGCCGCACTCGGGCTGCTGTTGCCCGTTATGGCTGACACTTTGGCTCAGTGAGCAAACGGATACGCATGCCAAACTCTGTGTGTGTCTTTGGGGTTCTATGGTTGCAAGCTTTTATAATGTGGGAGAGAGGACCCTGTTTTAGGATAACCCGCAGCCTCAAGATAAAAGATGGAGAAGATCAAAGCGCAGGCAGAGATATGTGAGAAACTGAAGAACAAGTGCTTCCGCCCTCAGTTCTCCCGGGAAACCTGTGCTCGTGTCACAGCCCAGGTCTGCCCATGTTCCCCCACCCTCCTGCCCCTGTGCTGGACTGAGGGGCACTTGGTGGTGCAGGGCAGCGGGAGCAGCCATGTCCTCCTCCAGATACAGGCCTCAGAGACCAGGCTGTACACAGGGACAGCTCCTGCCATGCAGGCCATCAGGCAAGGTCTTGGCAGCCCCGCAGGGTCCAGAACAGGGACCCTGCAGGGTAGTGGGAGATGGGGTAGGGTGGAGTGACAATTCCACAGGCCCTTACAGAGACTAAGTGGGACTCAAGGCCCAGGTTTTGTCTCTGGACTTCGGTTCTAGAAGACTTTTCTTCAGGGTTGGGAGCCTGGAGGGTGGGGTGGGGAGGCCCCACCAGTCAGCCTGCCTTAGGCTCTGCAGATGGGGCCGGGCAGTGGGGAGGAGTGACTAGGGCACAATGCCTGGCAGCATCATATTTCCAAGTATTTACCAAGAATGTTCCCCCCTCTCCCCGCCCCAAGGGAGCGGTCTGGCATTCTAGCACATTCCCAGTGACTCATCTGAACCATGGGTGGGGACTTTCCTGGGCCCTAGGGAAAGGGCAGCAGAAATGTGGGGAAGTGGGGAATTTATCCACTCTTCACATTTAGTGTGCCCTCTCATTTATCACTGGGGGGCAAGTGAGGGCCCCCAAAACATCCCCATCCTAATCCCTCAATTCTATGGCAAAAGACACTGCAGGAGGAACTGAATCAAGTTTCCTAATGGGGTGACCGTGCTGGATTATTCCCCAGGCCCTGAACTAAGTGGGGCTGTAAGAGGAGACCACGGGAGATTGGAGAGAGAAATTAAGGTGAGGACAGGAGCCAGAGGATGCTCTGCCTGCTGGCTTTGAACTGGAGCAGAGGCCAGGGGCCAGGGGCCAGAGGCCAGGGTAGCAGCTCTAATAAAGGGAAAAGACAAGGAACATTCTCTGCCAGGGGGGCCAGGTCTTGCCGACTGCTTCATTTCACTAGGAAACCCTAGTGAGTTCTCAAGTCGAGAACTGCAGGAGAATGACGAGTATGTAGCCTGAGTTTGTAGGAATTGGTACAAGAGCTGAGGGCAACATATTACACCTGAGAAATTGTGTCCACTGTCCTCGGTTACATGTTCTGTTTTCAAACCCTTCTTTAGTCTTCACAGAGAATGCTTAGAGCTGAGCCTTTCCACACCATCTTAGATTCCTAGTTTTCCATTAGTGCAACAGACACAGTATAAAATTATATCTGGATTCTAGGACAATTGCTCAATAAAAAGGAACAAGAAGTCAACCATGCCCTGGAGGGTATCCAAGCTATGCAGTGTAATTTTATAGCAGAAAATGTACTTATCATAAAATAATTGAATGGCCAGTCCTGATAAAAAACCTGCCACAGAAATGATACCGCCTGTACATTCTTAATGGGATGAGGATAAGCTGCTTCATCAGCCATCACCAGGGTGATGATAAAATACTACAGGCAGTTTCCTTGTTACCTAATAGGAGAGAGATAAGCCTATCAGTGATCCTAACTTTGCTCTGATAATCCAGGGCAAGCACAAACCAGGAAACCTAAGGAACATTACCAGAGAGGAGAGGAAAGCAACAAAACTATTAGCAAATGATTTGATGACTCAGAAGAGCAGCTGGAATCAATGAAATACTCCTAAACTGCTAAGACAACAGTGTAAAATGGTCTCAGAAAAAAAAGTTAAGAAAAATAGCCTGCAATAGAAATACATACAAAGAATATTAGCAAATTTACAAGATAGGAAAATGATAGCTAGCTATCTTGCTTAAAAGTGTTCACTTTGGGGCCTCCCTCGTGGCCTAGGGGGTAAGTCTCAGCTCTATCACCCCTAAAGCCTGAGTTCAATCACCGGCCAGGGAGCAACCCACATGGCGCAGCAGACCTCTCCTGTCTCACTGGCTGCTCCCCTCAGCAGTGTATTTCAGTGGCTCTGCCTGTTCTGCTCCCCAATCTGTCTCTGGTGAATCCTCTAGACACCCACCCCCCACCCCACCCCACCCCACACCTCTGGCTACACCCCAGTTCTTTTACTAGATAGATATATATATAGATAAGAATTTTTTTTTAATGTTCACTTCAGAAAAAGATAACAAACACCACTGCTTAAGTAAATACTGGGCTCTGGCATTATTTCTTAAAAGAACCTTATAACGTGGTGAGGCAGGCCGACAAATCAGTACCAGACAAGCAACTAAAGGGAGTCTTAGGTCTTTAAGGGCTTGCTCCTGAGTCCAGGGTGGCCAATCGGGCGTGTGTCTGTGGCGTTCTCTCTTCATCTCTAGAGCACATAGCCTTCTAGAAGAAAAGGAGAGGTGGAGCGCAAATCCCAGGTACCTCTGAAAAACATGAACTGTGCAAGTTCAAAATCCATTCCAGTACTGACTGCTACAGGCACTCCTGCTTATGCTATGCAAATGATGCTGCAAATCGGTGTCCTTTCGAATTACAAAAAAAATTAAAAGGAAAAAGGAAGAAATGAAAATGCTATGAACACATTCATACCATCAAAACCAAAAATTCCACTTCTAGAAACTTCACCCATGTGAAAGATGAAGAAACAAAGCAAACAAAAAACAAAGCCATAGAGCTGAAAGCAGGATGAATGGTGGTGACCAGGCTGGGGAGGGGAGAGGTAGAAGGGCCACTATCAAGGTGGTAGATGGAAACTAGGCCTCTGATGGTGTCCAGCTATCCACCTGAAATTTCTTCAATGCTGTAAACCAATATAATCTCAATGGGAAATTAATAAAAATATTTAATCCTAAAGGCAAAAGCTAGGTATTAAGGTTTTCCTCGTGAGCAATTTTATATGTGTGTATATAAATAAAACAAATCTAACAAATCCTAATACCATTTTTTCCCTGTAGCACCACAATAATGAACATTCATAACTGATATCAATCAATCCAGTCTTGGTGTTTTCTTAAGGTGTTGCTACTTAATTGTGCTTCCTCCAAAATGTAGCCACTTGAAAATTGGTTTGATGGAGTCTGGGGATCTTGCTTAGTCCCTGCCTTCATTTCTGTTTTCTGGTGGTGGGGTGTGTGTGTGTATGTATGTGTGTGTTGTGCATAATATGGAGTGTGTGGATGGTATGTGGATGTGTGTGCACTTAGTGTCTCTGAGCAGCCAACTCTAATATGTAAATGGGGTTATTGCTTCTACTTCATAGGTTTACTGTGAGGGTTAAATAAACTAATGCCTGGTGCACCGTGGGTATCCCACAAAGAGTGGGTACAGTTATACATTATTTTCTCCCTGCTGCTGTCCACACTTGATCTCAGATCCAGGAAACTAGGAAAAGCAAGATATTCCGTCCTCCAGGCCTACCCCTAGTGTGATGCAGGCCACCTTTGGTAGAAACAGAAAGGGAGGCTGACCTATCCATTTAATCTCACTGGACTGTTAATGGTTGGAGTCAACTGTAATATGCTGAGTTGGAATAAAATGCCTTGGAGTGGCACTGGCCCCATAATTTTAAATATTGGGTTTTCGTGGCCAAGTATGACTAAACTCGCACCCCCTGTCTGGGATGGCATAAAACAAGGATGCTATGCCTTCCAGTCATGCAATCCTAGGCACACCCCAGCCACACTGATAACAGTGCCATGCACTGAATCACAATGCACTTTACTTAGTAAGGCTAATCCAAAGGTTACTTCTCATGTTACTTCTCATGTTATCAGCCCTAAACCACCCTAGGGAGGAAGCTGGCAGCTATGGGTCATATTCCCTTCCAGGCACAGCGGGCCGCCTGGAAAGCAAAAGTGGCAACACTGACTCGGCTTCCCCTGGGCACCGTATTCCCGGACGCATTAACGTGGATATTAATTTTCCAAAACAGTTTTATGGGATACCGGAAAGGGGAAGGGCGGAGAGGGAGGAGGGGAAAAGAATAAAGTAACTTAAATGCCAATTTCTTCTAGCACACAAGCCCAGAGTATTAGTGAAATGCCCCCCATGTCCTCTCAGCCCTGGAGGTACCAAATCTTGTCATTGCCACATTTACTAAGTTTAGTAAAAAAGAGAGAGAACAAGGTCTGGAATGGGCCTCACGATGATCTTCGCAGGTCTGAGAGACCTCAAAACTGTGGCGCACTTTGCCAAGCTCTAGGGCACAAACCAGACCCCCAGGTTGGGAGAGCGGGGAGACCCGGGCGCCCCATCGGGAAAAGGCCCCGGGGAGCCGGCCGCTTCGGGCACCGACCCCTGCGCCCTCCCTGTCCTCCGCCCGCCCGATGCCCAACGCCGGGCGCCCTGCGTCGCGCGCCCGGCCGGCCGGGGTCGCCTGTGGCCGGGGCCGCGGGGGTCACCGCGGCAGAGGGACCCCGCGCAGCAGCCCGCATGGCTCGGCGCCGTCCCCAAGGCTGCGGGCGCGAGGCTGTGCGCGCCGGGCCGGGAGATCCAGGCGCCGCCGCCGGCCCGGCCGCCACGCGCAACTCACCAGCGGCGCGTCGCTCCCTGCCTGCTCGGCTCCCACGGAGAACGCGCCTCAGCCTCCCCCGCCGGGCCCCGGGAACACAGCGGGCGGCGGCCACGCCCCGCCGCGCCCGCGCCCCGCCCCTGCGCGCGCCCGCGCCTCCACCCTGCAGGAGCGGTCCCGGCCGGGCCAACGCCCTCCCTGCAGCGGGCGCTCCGAGGCCGCGCGCCCCCGTCCCCGCGCAGCCACGCCCGTCCCCGCGCAGCCACGCCCGTCCCCGCGCAGCCACGCCCGTCCCCGCGCAGCCACGCCCCTCCCCGCGCAGCCACGCCCCTCTCGCGCAGCCCCGCTACTTCCGCGCCCGGTTGTCCACACGGCCACGCCCTACACAGCCACGCCACTCCCGCGCCCGGCTGTCTACGCAGCCACGCCCCTTCCCACGCAGCCACGCCACTCCCGCGCCCGGCTGTCCACGCAGCCACGCCCCTCCCCACGCAGCCACGCCCCTCCCGCGCCCGGCCCTCCGCGCCTGCGGGTCTCTCAGCCGCGGCTGCTGCCGGCGGAGGGGGTGAGCGAAGCTCCGCGGGCCGCGGCGGCCCACGCCAGACATACCACAGAGGGTGGGTGCCGAGTGGGAGCGAGCTGAGCCGCGTCCTGGAGCCGGCCCGGCCGGCCGCTCCGGGCTTCAAATACTGTCGGGGAGGGAGGCGGACCGCGCCGGAGGGGAGGGCGGCTCCAGGTGTGCGCCAGGTACCTCCCTGCACTTTGACCCCCGCCGCGCGCCGGCCCGGCTCTCCCGCTGGAGGGGCCGCGCCCCCGCCCCCCGCCCACTGCCCGGGGCCGCCGCGAGGGGCATCCAGGCAGCCTTGATGTTCTGGGCCTCGCCGGCTGGGGACGAAGCGCTCGGTGACCAGAAAAGTGCCACGGCCCCCGCCCTGCAGAACAGAAGCTTAAAATGGACAAAGGCCCGGTTGTCATTTAGTGCGGCCGAGGACCCTAGTGCGCCTCTGGTCCACGCGAACTAGAGTCCACGATTAGAGGCCTGGCAGACTAATGCGGGTGAAATCCCTGTGGGGGCTCAGCAGCGATGCTGTTGACACCTAAACCAGAATTTCTTTTTTAGAAAAATACCGGATGGTCTCACTCATAGCAGGAATCTAGAAAACCTAAGTAAGAGACCAGGAAAAAGAATAACTATAAGAAAAAAAATCAAAATCAAAAACAACTAAACCAGAGACACACTATGGGGGGGGCGGCGGGGAAAGGAGGGATTGGGGTCAAAATAAGGGGGTTGCAATGGTATGGGGAATATAAAAATAAAATTAAAAAAAAGAATTTCTTTTTTTAAAAAGATTTATTTTTGTTTATTTATGCATATAAGAACTGGGGTTTAGGGCAGAGGTGTGGGGAGAAGGTGAGAGGATTCACCAGAGGCAGAGTGGGGAGCAGAACAGACTGACTGAAATACACTGCTGAGGGGAGCAGCCAGCGAGACAGGAGAGAGAGGTCTGCTGCGCCATGTGGGTCAGCTCCCTGGCTGGGGCTGGAAGCTCATGCTGCAGTGGCTGGTGATAGCTTGATAGCGCTGAGACTTTTAACTTCTGGGCCACCAAGGAGGCCCCAGAATTTAATTCATTGTTGAGGGTCGCAGAGTGTGTACTGATACAGGCACTGAAAAGATGAAAAGCTTTATTTTCAGAGCCAAAAGTGAAACCTGTCCGCTACGTACAGTGGAAGGAGCACATGAATTATTCATTGTGAAGTATTTGTTGTAGAAGCGGGTAACCTGACATCCTCAGGGAAAGGCAAGCGTAGAGATGCAATCTCTCTATGACAGCTGCAAGAAGCAGGTCATAAAATTGTTACTTTAAGGGATGTGTTTGGTCAGTCTGTGGGTTTGGTCAAACATTCCTCAGTGTTTATCGTCACAGGCTAGCACCATAGTGTGGGGGTTTGCAGTTACCATGTCTGAGTCTTTGGAGCTTCTTAGCATTCAAGCTGCTGTTACAGCTGACTCTGGCCACTCTCACTCTTCTGTCCTGGGCTGCTGATTTCCACTGTCATGGCGCTAGGAAGTAATTTAACCAACTCACTAGCCTTTGTACCCACTAGATGCCAGGAAAGGAAAAATAACCACCCTTCCTCCCAAGCTGTGACTGTTTTCATTTTATTTTTTGACGAGTGAAACAGAGAGACTCAGATATCTCATTTTCACCTTTATCCTCTCCAGTGCCTTTCACCCAGCACGGGGGGGACACCGGTGAGGCAGATTCCCTCACTAGTGCTGGTCAGGGCTCCTGACTGAATGACTCATGAGTCCCATTTTTGGGAGAGCGGACATTGCAATAATGCCTCCAATGCCTTTCACCCCATTTTTATTAGCTTCTGTTTTCCACCTTATCTTTTTTTTTTAAGGATTTAAGATTTATTTATGTATGTATACAAGAACTGGGGTGTAGGCCAGATGTGCGGGGGGTGAGAGGATTCACCAGAGAGAGTGGGAAGCAGAACTGGCAGATCTACTGAAATACACTGCTGAAGGGAGCAGCTGGGGGTGAGACAGGAGAGGTCCTCTGCACCATGTGGATCACCTCCCTGGCCAGTCGGGGGTGCTGCAGAGGCTGTGGATAGCTTCATAGCACTGTGCTTAACCCCTTGCGCTACCAGGGAGGCCCATGAGTACATTTTAAATATCTTGTTGGCTCTATGCAGCGATTCATGAATCAAGCAGCCTCCAAACTAGCAGTTAGGAGGGGCTTCCGGGGAACTCTAGAAAATGAAGGAATGATGACAGGACAGAAAAAAGGATCCTGCTAGCATAAGCAGACTTGGTTGTGGGCAGGTCACTTCCCTTTAGGGAGAGGCACGGGTGGGTGAGGCAGATTCCCTAACTAGTGCTGGTCAGGAGTGGGCTCCTGACTGAATGGCTCATGAGTCCAGTTTCTGGGAGTGCTGAAATTGCAATAAAGTCCCTGTTTAGTGATCTGGGGCTCAGCATAAGTGACTTTATTTGGCACCGGTTGTCTTGTTTTTAACACATTCTTGATCTACTCCTTATCTATTTTTTTTTTTAAGATTTACTTATTTATTTATACAAGCGCTGGAAACAGTCAGAAGCGCAGGAGGGTAAGAGAATTCACCAGAGCCAGAGTGGAGAAAAGAGCAGGCAGACTAACGAAGTACACTGCTGAGGGGAGCAGCGGGTGGCAGGAGAGGTCTGCGCACTATGTGGGACCCTCTCCCCAGCAGCCGGGGATCAAACCGGCGCTGCAGAGGCTGCGGGCAGCTTCGCAACACAGTGCTCAACTGCTGTGCCACCGGGGAGGCCCTCTACTCCTTATCTACAGGGAAATAATCTGTTCCCTGAAGATTAGTAGTTCTGCAACTTGCTTTTTTCACTTTCTACAATTTTGGACCTCTTTCTAACTTGCTCCTTAGAGATCATCCTTTTTTCTTTCCTAACTGCATCTTTCTTTGGGTGCCACTGAGGACCACTGGGGTTGTTTCCAATCTTGGGCCATTACAAGTAAAGCTGCCACTAATAATCTTGTTCTGTGCTTCTCAAACTTGAATGCACACAGGAAACATCCTGGGTGTTATTAAAATGCAGATTCCTATTCAGTAACTCCTATGATTCAGCATTTTGGACTAGCTCCCACGTAGCTGATGCCATCAGCCCCCAGACCACACTCTCAGTAGCAAGAACTTAGTGTCAATATTATTACTATTATTATTTTGCATAGAAGAACTGGGGTATAGGCCAGAGTTGCAGGGGTTGAGAGGATTCACCAGAGACAAAGTGGGGAACAGAACAGGTGGGCTTACTGAAATATACCGCTGAGGGGAGCAGCAGGCAAGACAGGAGAGGTCTGCTCTGCCATATTTGGGTTAGCTCCCTGGCCAGGGATCCAACCTCAGGGCGTCGTGGTGATAGCACCCAACTCCTAGGCCACCAAGGAGGCCCAATATTATTTTGTATTAATGGAGAAACAGAGCCTGGAATGCAGATGCCTAGATCCTAGATTGCTAGAAACGGGACTGCTAGATCAAAATACAAAGACACACAGTTTTTGTTAAATATTGTCAAATTCTTCTCCACAGGGATTATACCATGTTCTTCTCTTCCCCAGATATCTGAAGGTGTCACAGCCTTATAACTAGCAAAACTTGCCGTCTCTGACTTTTTATCAGTCTGATCAGTGAGAGTTGTAATCTCATGAAGTTTTAATTTGCATTTTCTTGTGATATGTGAGATTGAGCATCTTTTCATGTTTAAAAAGTATTGCCTCTTTTCTGTTTTATACCCCTCCCCACACTGTCAGTGATTGAAATTCATTTAAAAAATTATTTGGTGCATTTCTTCTTGGTTCCTTTTTTTTTTTTTTAAGATTTATTTATTTATTTATTTATTTATTTATTTATTTATTTATACAAGCACTGGGTACAGTCAGAAGCGCGGGAGGGTGAGAGAATTCACCAGAGCCAGAGGGGAGAGCAGAGCAGACAAACTGACGAAATACACTGCTGAGGGGAGCAGCGGGCACGCTGGGAGAGGTCTGCGCACCATGTGGGACCCTCGCCTGGCGGCCGGGGATGGAACTGGTGCTGCAGAGGCTGCGGGCAGCTTCACAACCCAGCGCTCAACCCCTGCGCCACCGGGGAGGCCCTCTTCTTGGTTCTTTTTTTTTTTTTTTTTTTTTATAGAGGCATGTTTATTTATTTATTTATTTGTTTGTTTGTTTGTTTTGTTTATACATGCACTGGGTACAGTCAGAAGCACGGGAGGGTGAGAGAATTCACCAGAGCCAGAGCGGAGAACAGAGCAGGCAGAAGGACCGAAGTACACTGCTGAGGGGAGCAGCGGGTGGCAGGAGAGGTCTGCGCACCATGTGGGACCCTCCTCCGGTGGCCGGGGAGCAGCCGGGGATTGAACCGGTGTCGCTGAGGCTGCGGGCAGCTTCGCAACCCAGCGCTCAACCGCTGCGCCACCGGGGAGGCCTCTTCTTGGTTCTTAAGTGCTTTTTATGTGTTGACATAATTAGCCCTTGATAATATAAGTTGTAAATATTTTTCCCAGCTTCTCATCTGT